GAGACAGAATCACAAAAAGCAATTTTGTAGTATAATTTGGGAGACATCGAGATAAACAGCTGTGAATTAGATGAAGCCAACAGATCTCTGATGTACGCTTGCTCTCTCTGGTGCTGCCTTCTGGAAGGGTGTTTATTTAATTTCTCAGTCTCATCCAAGGAAAATTAAATGTTGTAGAACTTCTAATAGGACTTCTCACTGCTTAGGAAAGTAGGAACATATAACTGTGTTTATTACAGTACTTGGAGGCCACGGCTGCAATGACAGAGAGTAACTTAGGAGACTTACAGAAATGTCAGGAAATCCATGAGAAATGCATACGTGCTTGACTAAATTGGAAATTAAAACTGAACTGGTGTAAGTATTTTTATATGTAAATGTGCATCTATTATTATTTTTATTATTACTATTAAACCATACTGAGAGTTTTGACAGAAAGTATGCAAGACATGTTTTTAAAAAAGTGAATGTAATGCTATTGGTTAATATAGGTGCTTGGGGCCATAGATGCTGGTAGGCACAACCTCCCTGGGGCATGATTTTGATCTGGCCTGAAGCTTATTTTAATTTAAAATGGTAACTGTCAATTCCAAGGTGAGTAACTGGATCACTGGTAGCACTATAGCTGAGCACTTTATCGCAATACAGTGGGCCTTTGGTATCCACTGGGGTTTGGTTCCAGGATCCCCTTCACATGGATATAAAAATCAGTGGATGCTCACATCCCATTAAATACAATGGCGTAGGGAGTGTTGGACTACAACTCTGGAGACCAGGGTTCAATTCCTGCTCAGCTATAAAACCCACTGGGTGACTTTGGGCAAGTCACATGCTCTCAGCCTCAGAGGAAGGCCATGGAAAACCTTATCTGAAAAAGTCTTGCCAAGAAACCCCAATGATATCGCCATAAGTCAGAAACAACTTGAAGGCACACAGCACACACATATAAAATAGCAAAAATCAAATTTTGCTTTCTGGAATTTATATATTTTAATATATATATTATTGAAGCTGTGGATGGTTGAATCCGTGGATAAACAATCCATGGATACAATTTTACACTTGTTTTAGCCTGGCACTCTGCAAGGGCATCTCCTCACCAGTTACACTCCTTTAATACTGGGCCAGCCCAAGGCTTACACTGCAGAAACAGGCTGACTGGATATCCTCCTTTTCCAGGATATGTCCTACATTTCAGCCTCCTGTCCAGGAGGAATTCCAAAACATTCTTCATTATGAGCATGATTAAGAAGCATGAACAGACATTTCTAGTTAGCTTTTGTTTTGTCATGTCCTACATTCTTCTTGAATGACCTACATTACCGGAAAACCATGCTCTGTGAGGAGACATAGGGAGCTGGGCATGATTATTCTGGAGAAGACAGGATTAAGAGATGATATGTTAAGCCTGTTTAAATATTTGAAGAGGAGTCATACTGAGGATGGAGCAGGCTTGTTTTCTGCTGCTCCAGAGAACAGGACCCAGAATAATGGATGCAAGCTCCAGGAAAAAGAGGTTCCACCTGAACATTAGGATGAACTTCCTGACAGTAAGAGCTGTTCAACAGAGGAACACACTCCTTCAATGAGTGGTGGAGTCTCCTTCTTTGGAGGTTTTTAAACAGAGGCTGGATGGTCATCTGTTGGGGATGCTTTGATTTTGAGTTCCTGCATGGCAGAATGGGGTTGGACAGGATGACCTTTGAGGTCTCTTCCAGCTCTATGGTTTTGTGGTGCCTTGTCCTCCTTTGCGATTGTGCAGAAATAATCCAGTTTGACACCACTTTATTTGCCATGGCTCAAGGCTATGGAATTCTGGGCCTGGTAGTTGGTTGTGGCACAAGAGCGAAGCTCTGGTGCCACAACCAACTACCAGGCCCAGAATTCCATAGCCTTGAACCATGGCAAATAAAGTGGTGTCAAACCGGATTATTTCTGCAGTGCAGATGCAGCCTTATTTGTTGAGAAAGCCAAGGTCGGCCTTCTAACTGCAGCTAAGTCTGGGAATGGAATAAACAATTAGGAGCCAACTTCAGCCAGCAGTGACGGAGTTGCTGAAGGCGTAGTAAAGGGTGTGGTTGGAGAACAACTATGAACTCAGTAGTTCATAGTCAAAAGAGACAAGGAACACTGTAGCTGGCATTTCAGAGATGCCAGACTCAAGGGTCCCATAACCTTGACTCAACGCTCTAGGACCTTGGGGTTTCAACTTGGACAATAATGTTTTTATTGTATGTATGTACGTTATAGTGTGTGTTGTGTGCCTTCAAGTCAGTTCCGACTTTTTAATATAGGCGAACATATCCTGGGGGTTCCTTGGCAAGATTTCTTCAGAGGAGGCTTGCCATGGCTTTCCCCTGAGGAAGCTGAGAGAGTGTGACTTGACTCGGTGCGTTTCATGACCTAGTCGGGATTCGAATCCTGGTCTCCAGAGTCCAACACGCAAACTCTGGTTGTGGAGCTTTGAGCCAACATTATGGGACCCCTTCAGTCTGGTAGCTCTGAAAATGAGGTCCAAAACACACCGCAAAAATAACCCAGTTTGAGACCACTTTAACTGCCATGGCTCAGTGCAAGGGAAACATGGGAACTGTAGTTTCTTGAGGCACTCTTTCTGACAGAGAAGGCTCAATGTCTCACAAAACTACAGTTCTCAGGGTTCCCTAGCATGGAGCTAAGGTAGTAAAAGCGGTCTCAAACTGGGTTATTTCTGCAGAGTTGTTTTTATCCTTTTCCATTCGTCCTTCAGTCTGGCTTTCAAAACTTCCCCTTGTTGCAACTCAAGCCTCCCTTCCCGCCAAACTCCTAATTTCTCCTCCGTCTCCAAAAGGCGTTGGCCTTTTGTTTTAAACGCCTACCTAAAAAGAAGGAGAGAGAAAGGGAGAGCCTCCTTAACTCCCAAAGAACTGCCTGCCTTCCTCCCTTTAGTAGGGATGGGGAAAAGAGAGTTGTAGTTCCCACAAACAAGGTGACCAGATATCCTAACTAGTTGCAAAGGAGGACGAGGCACCTCAAAATGTGGCACGTTCAGGAAAATTGTAGACATGACCTCATAAAAGCTAAAGAAGTACTCATGGAAATAAAAAATCCATGCTTCTTAGTCATGCTCAAAAGGGAGGACATCCAGGAAAATTGAAATTCATGGTTCTTGGCCATGCACAAAAGGGAGGACACTGTGGAATTCCTCCTGGACAGAAGGTGGAAAAGTAGGAGGTGTCCTGGAAAAGGAGGACCTCTGCTCACCCTGAGCTAAAAACACTGGTAGAAATATAAATCCATGCTCCTTAGTCCTGCTCAAAATAGAGGACATTCAGGAAAATGATAGGACATGCGTAAAACCTAAAAAAGAAAACACGCACAGGAAAGACTATAAATCCATGCTCTTTAGTCCTGCTCAAAATGGAGGACGTTAAGGAATTCCTCCTGGGCAGAAGGCTGAAAAAGGTAGGACATGCCTTGGAAAAGGAAGACCTCTGCTCACCCTGAGCCAAAGTAATGCAAATCCATGCTTCTTAGGTAGGGCGTTACAAAACCAAACCTAAAAACAAAACAAGCCACTCATGGAACTATAAATCCTTGCTCCTTAGCCCTGCTCAAAATGGAGGGGATTGAGGAATTCCTCCTGGACAGAAGGCTGAAAAAGGTAGAGCATGCCTTGGAAAAGGAAGACCTCTCTCTTCTCACTCTGAGCTAAAAAACACTCATGGAAATGTAAACCCATGTTTCTTAGTTCTGCTAAAAATGGAGGACAGCTCCTTAGCTCTGCTCAAAATGGGAGACACTGAAGAATTCCTCTTGGATAGAAGGCTGAAAGATAGGACAAGTCTTGGAAAAGGAAGCCGTCTGCTCACCCTGAGCTAAAAAAAACACTCATGGAAATGTGAATCCATGTTTCTTAGTCCTACTAAAAATGGAGGACAGCTCCTTAACTCTGCTCAAAATGGGGGAAGGGGAACACACTGAGGAATTCCTCCTGGACAGAAAACTGGAAAAAAAGGTAGGACATGCCTTGGAAAAGGAAAACTTCTGCTCCCCCTGAGCCAAAAAAACACTCACGGAAATGTAAATCCATGGGCCTTTGCAGACTGCCAGAAACAGTGCAAATTGAGTCCACTTTAAGGGATAGGGTTGTAGGTAGGACATTACCAAACCTAAAAAAAAAAAAAAAATCCACTCATGGAACTATAAATCCTTGCTCCTTAGCCCTGCTCAAAATGGAGGGGATTGAGGAATTAATTCCTCCTGGACAGAAGAAGGCTGAAAAAAGGTCGGTAGGGCATGCCTTGGAGAAGGAGGGCGCCTGGCCACCCTTTTTATGGGAGACTGGGGTGAAAAAGTTCCTCCCAGAGAAAAGTTCCTTCCAGGCGGGCGCTGCGAGGGGCTGGCCCTGGAAGGGAGCAGGAGGAGGGAAAGCAGTCCCTTGCCTTGTCCCTCCCAGCCCTCCTCCTCCTCCTCCTCTTCCCTTGGCAAGGACCTCGGCTCCCTCC